TCCAACACATAAGCGTTGATCGGTTCCTCGAACGACTCAGTCTGGAAGTTCGACACAAGATCGGTGTCGGTGATTCCATTTGCTGTCTGAAATGATATGGGCTCTGGAGTCACGAGTGTCTCGAGACTGTGCTTCTCGATCTTCTTTTGAGATATGAGGTCATGGCCACATCCAGTGTCCATGAGAAACTTGATCTTCTTCTTGAGGATGACTGGTTGAACCATGCATTTGAACACGCCTTGATTGATGATCCGCTTGCTGTGCGCAGCATCGAGTTCACGCTCAACGATGGAGTCCTCACCGTCGTAGAAGGAAACCTCTTCCACCCGAGACGTTCCTGGGATCCGTACGAATGAAACTCGATCTCCGCATTGATCATCATCGTCGTCAACCATGTCTCTCATGATCTGTGCCCTCAATCTCGCCTTGTGCTTAGCGAATTCCAAAGTCACGGCGCGATCCTCGTCGTTGACAAGTGCCTCCATGTCGACGTACTTCACCTTCCTTTCTTTGTCCTTCTTCGATCTTCTATAGACACGAAGAAATGAACTTCACGTCATCAGCGAATGTCACGTTGCGCTTGATCTCTTTTCGGGTCGACGTAGTCGGTCCCGAGGATTCGTCGTCGGTTGAACAATCCGAGTCAGCGTCGCTGTCAGCGGATGGACAATCTGACTCTTCCTCATCTTGTCTTGAAGATCGCTTCCATATAGCCGGGGCTGATGGATTCCACCTTCGGCACAATCTGATGGCGGGTGCCGCAGGGAGTGCCTTGGCCTTGGCATTCGGCTTCGCTGGAGCTGCCTTTGCTTCGGATTTGGCTTTGGCTTTTGCCTTTGGTTCCGGAGCTGGGGTAGCTGCGGCCTCATGCTTGAAAGGACAATTCTCTCTTGAGCACGAGCCTGTGTTCTTGAAAGAGTAGCATATCCTATTACCTCCTCCTCCAGATGGACTTGGAGTTCTCGTCCTCGGCGTAAAGGGTCGCTCTGGAGTCTTCTTCGAGTGACTGAATGGGCACTTGTCACCATTTCGACACCCTGCATCTGTGAAATGGAACTTGCAGCGGATTTGCTTCTTGCTCTTGTCGCCTCTGTTGTCCGCCGACTCACTCCTCGTCTTCTTCTTGGGCTTTGGTTTGGTCTTCGCATGACTCTTCGCTTTGCTCTGAGGTAGTACAGGTGTTGCCTTATCCGGCTTGGTAGGCGAAGCCTTGACCTTTGCGGATGGAGCTGCATTAGGCGTTGGTTTCTCAGGTACCTTAGCCGGCGCAGCAAGCAAATCCTTGCCCTCAAGCATCTGGCGCAAACCAATTTGGGTCTGAGTGAGGTTTGATTGTTCTCGTCTCCGCATGATGGTACGATCAATGATCTTCATCAGATTGTCATACGATCGATCTTCATGATTGTAGGGCAAGTGTTCGTAGTGCATGCCCAACTCCATCTTCATTGCGGGCGAGTCCTTGATCTTGCTGTACAAGCAATCACGGAGAGCTGTTTTGGATGGTATATCTTCTGGTCTCATCCGTCCAAGGACTTCCAACCACGTCTGCTTGAACGTATGAAGTTTGTTGTCACCTTGGTACTGGAGCTTCACCAGATACTCGAGAGTGATGATCATGTCGAGACGGTCATGCGTTCGGAAACTTTCATACATCATCGCAATGATTTGTCGTCCTTTGATGATCTTCCCTTCGGGCCTGCTGATGTAATCGTTGGCCTTCCGGTTCACTTCCAGGTACAGATCAGCGGATTTGTCACCACCAGCGCGTAGCATTGCGACCATGGCGATCCCCAATTTGACGTCTACGCTCTTGAACTTCTTGTGTCCTGAATCGTTCAGTGCTTCGACATCAGGGAATGGATTGAACGCTGGTGCCAGCCATAACATCCAGTCCTCATGATTTGGGTCGGCTGATGCTCCTAGGACATTCGCCGTGCATACGGACCGCCAGTTGTTCAGGTGCGTAGGCCATGGAGGGACTGTCACTTTATCGGCTTCTCTCCTGGAAATTCTCACCTCCGTGACTTCAGGGTCTGCGTCTCCATCAGGATCACGCGCATGAGGGTCAGGATCCGGTTCAGGTTTGCCTCCACCGCTCCTCTTCTTATCGTCATCGTCATCATCAGGCGGATCCGGAGGGTCATACCCCGTGCCGGTCCCTTCATCTCGCTCTCCCTCTTCGTTATCGTCGCCAGCTTCATCACCGTCATCGTCTCCATTGTCTTCCTGAATCGTTTCAGCGAATAATCTCCACTCATCACGATCAGCTCTGAGACGTTGTTCGGCTTTCTGGGCCTTGAGTACTTCGCTTCGCAGATCAGCAATCTTCTCTTCGTACCGTTCCGCGACCTCTTTCTCGATCTGACGTCTCCTTGCCTCATGGATGGAATCATCGTAGGCGACAGGGGCACCAATGGGGTCGTTGCCCCTCGTAGATGCGATAATGCCGTCGATACCAACAGGTCTTGAGGAGCTGGCAGATGCTGTGGACTTCGATCCCAACATCACGCGATCCTCCAAGAGTTCACGTAGCTGTCGGTCACGCACGGCTGCCGCATCACTTTGCCCATGAAATCCGCTTGGTATGCCAAACAAAGTGGCTGCACTGGGCGTGGAACGCGCATGTGCTGGGCTGCTAATGCCTGGCACGTAGTGCTCGGGCATTGCATCCGCCACGATTGGCGTTGAGTAGGATCTATCTACCTCACCTTTGATGCGGCCAGTGAAGAAGTTTCCACCGGTAAATGGGATGCCATCCATTGCAAGGTTCTTGTCCTTGTCCGATTCCGAGAATGCGAACTTCTCTTTGGCGACTGGACTAACTTGACTTGGGGACCGTATTTCAGGGGATCGTACCTCACCTCCTACGGAAAACGCAGGCACTACTTCCTTTCCTACGTGCTCCCAGCCAGACTCAGTAGTCCTCGAAGACATGGGCATGCTCGAAGGCCGTGTCACTCCGCCATGGTAGTTGGAGTTCCGTGCTGCCTCCAATTCGCTACGTGTCCTCGCTTGAAGATCTTCTTGTGCTTTGAGCGTTTTCCTGAGTTCACTCAGCTCGTCGTGCAAGGTGGGCAATGCACGCCTTGCATGATCCTCATTCTGATGAAGTCGGTCCTCTGCATCTTGCATCCTCCTCACAGCCATTTTGCGGTACTCTTCCTCCTCACCAAGACGTTCGCGAAGCCGAAGTCGTTCTTGATCAATGGCTGCACTGTTTCCAGCTAGTCCTTGGATCTCGTTTACAGCCCGCAACTCCTGATTCCTGACCAGGTGGAATCGTTCTTGCATCGCTTGTAAGGCTTGTTCCGAACTTGCTGTGTTCGACCGGAGGAACAAGTTCTCTCTGGCTTGTTCGTGAAGTTCATGAGTCAGATGCTCATACTCGCGTGCCATAAGCTCACCATCACCTTGCGCTCTTGCCTCCAACTGCACAAAGTTAGTGGCTGCTTCCGTGCGGAACACATGTAGCTGCTGAGCCAACTCCTCGGCAACGGCGTGTGCTTGACGTTGTTGAGCAGAGTTCTGTTCATCCATGCGAAACAAAGCTGTTTCATAGTCTCGCTTCATCTCCTGATTGACATTGTTGATGTGCCTCATGGCTAAGCATGCATGATCACGTTGTCGTTCCAATTCTTCGATGCGAATCCCAGATCCTTCATCTTCTTGTTGCATCTCCTTGATCTTATCCATCAGGGTCTGGACAACTCCTTCGTACTCTTGCATCTGACTGCGATAGTACATCTGCTGTGCAAGGTTCGATGCTTCGAACTGTTGCGAAATCGTCAGTTCCTGGTAGGCATTCGGACCATCAGCTGTGGCTGGCGTAGTCACCGATGAAGCATCACCACGTGCAGGAATAGTGTCCAGAGTCATATCCAGATCGTCAGCATCGCGTGGTCGATTGATAACCATCCGATTCCATGTCATGGACTTGTCACGCCCACGAGTAGCCGAAGTCCTTGATCGTGCTGAAGAGCTTCTCGAAGATGATGGTCTCGACTTCTTTTCCAAGGTCTTCACTCCCTTGTCCTTTGCCCTGGACGTAGTCCGAGGGGCCTGAAAACCAGACGCTTCGGATCGTCGTTCTGGAGCCTTGCCCGTCCTCGAACCTGTGGATGTCGGACGCGAAGGCGTAGATGCTCTTGGTAGACTCTTTGCTTTCACCTTGGGAACTGCCTTTGCAATGGCAAGAGCAGAAGATTGACCTTTGTCATCTTCCGTGGAGCTATCAACGGATTGCACCACTGTGTCATCAGCTGTTGACTCACCAACGGCTGGCGCTGCCACATCGGCACCGAAAGTCATTGTCGTATCTTGGCTTGATCCCGAGTTCATTGTGGTCGTAGTAGATCAAGTAGTCTTTGCTGCAGAAAGGCAGAGCCGCGTACGGCTGATAACCTGCGTGGGGCTTTGATCCTGGTAATGCTCTATATCGCTCACCCCACAAAGAGCTGTATTGACTGTTGGCGTGGTTGCCTTCTACAAGCTGGATCACCGTGACTTCCACTTCCACACACGCACTCCTATGCAGCCAGATCCAACGTTCGCTCCTTTTGCACACTCACGGCCGGCGGTGGATCGTCTGTGCACGGGATAGCTCTGTCTACTCGGAGGATCACAAAGATTATAGCGTTTTAGCTATGGGCAATGCTTTCTAGAGCTTGTGCTCATTCTTGAGCCAAACGTTGCGTGGGCGGTCATACTGAAAGGATGGATAGGCATTGCGGTGTGCGTAGCACTACCACAAGCCTACTCCTAGAGACGAGGGACGCGTAGCGTGCCCCCTTCCCTTGCACTTTACATGGTCTTGCTCACAGCTCTTATAGTGACACCTTGGAACTTGACAAGGCATCGCAGTCCGTTCGCACAAACACAGCAAGAACACGGTTCACACATCTCTCTTTAACAGTTCCTACGGTAAGTGCATTTCTTTACCGCCCTGCCCCCCCCCCCCCTCCACCAATCTTCTTCCTCCATCGCAACCTCTCAACCATCTCCTATTTCCATTCTAGCATTCTATCACCTATCACCTGGAGCACAGTTACTAACGCCCAGAGTCTGTTCACGTAAAAGCCGCTGTTGATGCCATCTGCGAATGCTTCGCTGATTCCACAGCGAATGGCCTTGTCCAGGTCGATCTCCCCGTCTGCCTCTGAAGAGGAAGAAGAGCTAGACGAGGAAGTGTTCCCGGCGGTGTCGGCTTCCCAATACGGGTCACGCGACTCATCTCTTGACTTCCTGCCTCGATGCGCTTGCAACCAATCTTCCCGAAACCCGGCTGCTAGCCGTCGTCGAGATGCCCAGGACACAGACACGGCTGAGAACGGCGAACGCGACTCGTACTCTGTGCCGTTCCACTCGTACTCGGCCATGTAGCCAAGTTGCTTAGCCGGACCAGCGATCTGAGGCAGTCTTTCACTCGCCCTCAGCCACAAAGCGGGATCGAGCACGCGCCGCATGTCCTGGACGTCCAAATTATGCCTGCCCGCGACGGTGCCGCCGTAGCAGGTCTGCACTTCGAAAGGAGTCAATTGAATCGGACGCATTTTGCCGGCGGAGCCAAACTCCATCTCTGCAGCACTGCCAATGTGAATGACGGGTCGCAGCGGCTTGCCTTTGCGACGTGCTCGGCAGCCTTCACACAAAAAGACCACGTGATAATAGCCGTGTCGACAGATCTTCCATCGAGTCGCAGAGGAATCCGAATACTTGTAGCACGACTCGCTGCACATGTGCTTCAGGAGCGAAGGAGCCAGATCGTGCAGATCCTCGCACATTACAAGACTCCCACAACGAAGAAACTCGATTGCGAACAACATTCAGGATCTAGACCGCACTACGTGAAATGCCTAGGCGCCTGGAAAAACGCCAACTGCCACGCATCGGCATCAGCTGTCGGGTCTGCTTCAGCGGCGAGCACACTCCGCAGGCGATAGCCTGGAGTCTGCGCCACCGGCAGACAGTTAATCGGAGTACTGAAAATCGACGAAGCGCCGCCTGTCGAATCCTCCAGATGCATTTCGGGTCGCCGCCAGGCCTCTTCTGAAGAAGCGCTAAGAAATCGTTGCTGGTCTTCGGACAAGTCCGTCATCTCTCTCAACAAATCCAAATCGCACCCGCCATCATACTTGCACAAGTTGCCCGCCACAGAGCTGACGGGCACAGGCCGACCCGCGTCCAGATCGCCGAAAATGCGCGGCGCAGCTTGCACCGATGCATGGGCTATGGATTCGAAACTGGCGACCGTCATGCGCATGAAAGTTCGGAGGCGTTCTTGAAGCACATGTTTCTCTTCACGCAGCATTCTCGCCAGATCGCTGACAACTTGCATATGACGACAAACGAGCCAAACCAAAATGTGAGGATGCAAAGATCCCCGACCCTGAGCTTCGATTTCGCCGCGGAAAGCCAGAATGGGACCCAACATGCCAGCGCCAGTAGAAGCCGCCGCCACACCATCGCTGCACCACTCCCTCGCTCCGCGGCGAGGCGCGTTGCGTCGGCAATCCAGTGTGTCTGGTCGAACATTCAGGACATGCTGGAAAAACAGACGCATCAAAAGCTCGAACTGAACGGTCAGAGCCACAGGATCCTGTGCCAAGCGTCGCAGCATGTCCCGATACTTTGGCAGGACTGTCTCCATATCTCCGCTCACAGCACCCAGATCGACGACTTCCCCTTGAACCACCAGAAGCAACGGATGCTGAGTATCCGCTACGTTTGGAGTCAGGAAAATCAACGGAGGTCCGAACGCTTCCATGTAAGCGACGCCCTCGCGCCGACACAGTCGACGATGACCATCGGTGCCCAACACTGTGGCAGAAGCCGCATTCATGGCGTGCAGCGCATCCTTCACTGTCTGCGGCACTGCAGCTTCTTTGAAAAACTGATCCGTACCCCCGGCCTGCGGCGCGGCGCGGGCGGCACTGGCGAGATCCTCTGCGCTGAGTTCCCGTAGTTTCTTCGCAAATGCCATGCCACCGTTTTTCAGGAAATTGTATGCGGCAGCGCGTTGATCAGTCAGACGAGACACAGTCGCCATCATGTGTAATGCTGTCCAATCGCCGGAGAAACGATTTTGCGCGGGCTGGGTCCCCAATACGGGTCGCACTGCCTCCGAAGGATCCGACGCGGGCTGACTTCCCAATACGGGTCGCAACGCCGCATCCCCTTCATCAAGCTCCCCGTCGACAGCATAGGCAAGCTCTTCGCGTAAAAGCAGACAGGCGGCCCACTCGGAAGTAGACAGGTTTGTGTCCCTCTCGAAGAGATTTCCAGCATCACCATATCGCCACAACCTCGGCTTGGCCATCGTCCAAATCTTCCAATCCCACAAACTCAATGGCTGCTTGCCACGTGCCACCAACAGATGCGCGGCCTGACCGTCCTCCTCCGCCGCATCTCCATGCACATGATCTGCTTCTTCCGGCGCAGGCCGATCATCCTCCTGTTCCGCAACACGCGGCGCGAGAGCTGCTTCCGAAGCATTCAACCATCGAGACTTGCCCATGACGGCATCTCGCAACTCGCGCTCCAGACGACTTTGCTTCTCCGCAGCGGAAAGTTGCCTGCAAGACTCGTGAATTTGGCGGCAGAGTTCCAGAATGTGTTGGCGGCCCAGGTGATCCACCAGAGTGCGCTGCTCATCCACCATGGTTTCCATCTCCAGAGCAACAGACCGAGCGCCAGCATCTTGCAACTCTTCCAACTTCTGCAACATGCTCACGACCAGCATAGAGATTTCTCGGCCGCGGGAATTGAAGTCCTCCACCTGCGGCTCCATGGCGAGCACGCAGGTCTCAGGCAGCTTCAGTTGCCTCCGCTGGCCCGGTTTGCCGAACCGCGCCGGGCCCGTCCTCGCCAACAGGAACAGCCACCACACAGTCCAGCACCGGAGGAGGCACGACGGATTCCCTCAATCTTTCGATGCGATCTGCGTTTCTTTATGTGACATGTGCTTACCAGACAAGACAACACTGACAAACGAATAAGTCCTCGCTGGAAAACCATTCAGCCAAAAGCTCTCGATTGATTTCGTCCACGCCACTTCGATAGACCGGGTTCGTCTCTCGCAAAGCTTCAGCTTGCTGAACAAACTCCTCCTTGTGAAGCTGCAGCCGCGCAATTCGGCTCACCGCCGCCCTGCTTTGCTCCTGCATTCCCGCGCTTGGCAGGTCAACGCAAAAGGATACTGCCAAAGCGTCGTTGAGCTTGGTAGGTGGCAAGCTCTCCAGCGCATACTCGGCATCCCCATTATGGAAAACAACCGCAGATCCCACCAAACCGGACTGCTGAAAGACGTAGTCCCACGAGTTGCTCGGCCTGTTGCTGCTCTCGGCTTGAGAGGCGCCCCCGGCGCGCAACACTACTTTCGTGGCAACAGTCCTCGCCAACGCCAGACACATTTCGTGCGTCATGTTGGCTTTCCAGAGTAATGGATCGGGACGGCCCAACCACAGATCGTTCGCCAGGGCGTATTTGCAAAGCCAAGGCTTCCGCCCTGAGAAAGCTTCCACGCAATCTTCACATACGGCCGCAGGAGCATTCCCCCGCACCATATCACCCGTTACCCGGCGTTTGTGCAGCAAGACAAGAACAGGACATCGAGCCGTGCCCACGTCGACACTCGAGGCTTCTAACTCCTGCCAGCAATGAACACGCGCAAATCCCACCCCGGACCCTCGTGCTGGCCTACATCACGAATCACAGACACTGCCCAACCCGTCCTTCGTCGGAATGAGCGGCCATCTCTCGTGGTAACGTTTGACGGACAACATCTCCCAGACAGTTTCTGCCGCTGCCATACAACATTTCGGTCCCTTCAAAAAACACTCTTGCATAGATTCGCGCCAAAAGCACCTTGCACAGAAAGCACATCCGATCCGCTCCCGCGCGCACGACAGCGCCGATGCCTCCCAGTCCATGGCGGACCGACGCAAAAACTCGGCGTAGTTGCTCACATAGTGTCGCACTTCGGAGCCTGCAACGATGTGCGGACACAAGGACTCCAGGTGCAGGTAGGCGTTCCGATATCTCTGCAACCCTCCATGCATTTCGTCGATGTGAGCCAGAAGTTCTTCCCGCACCGCGAAGCCGACGCCGTCACAGAGGAGACAAGGCTGCTCCGCCATTTGAAGCGGCTTCTGCGGCCACATCATCAGCTTCTCCTTGCCCTCGCGCACATGCAACCGAGACGCATGCTGAAAGCGCTTGAAAGGGTTGTCCGCCTCGTTGGCTTGGTCGCCCCTGCCGCCGTCCAGATTGCTGGACCAAGCTCTGGCCGAAAAGACTTCGTCTTGCCGTTGCCTGGCTTCGCGACCGTCTTGCCGGCCAGACCGTTCCTGGTTCCGGCCAGACCGCTCCTGGTTCCGACCGCTCCTTGTTCCGGCCAGACCGCTCCTGGTTCAGGCCAGACCGCTCGTTCCGGCCAGACCGCTCCTGGTTCCGGCCAGACCGCTCCTGGTTCCGGCCAGACCGCTCCTGGTTCCGGCCAGCCCGCTCCTGGTTCCGGCCAGCCCGCTCCTGGTTCCGGCCAGCCCGCTCCTGGTTCCGGCCAGCCCGCTCCTGGTTGTTCCGGCCAGCCCGCTCCTGGTGCTGTTTCCGGCCAGACTGGTTCCGGCCAGGGCCGAGCTTGTCAAGCGGCTTTCCAATCCGGATCGCACGCTGGAGCGCAACGCGCCTAGCAAACTGCCCCACACACAGACGACACAGAGCTGCATCACTGCTTTCGCCAGAACTCCTGGTAGTCGCAGCCAAATAGGATCCGGAAGATTGTTTTTTACTTGCCTAAGGCCAGCTCCTGCAGCCTTCCCTTTCCGGCGCATCGTCTTCTCCATAAAAACCAAGCAAGCTTCAGAAGGCAGATCACCGACACCAACCTCGGAAATCACTGCATCATTCAAGCAATACCATTGTCTACCACAGACCAGGTACGCCACGTAGTGCGCATTGCCGTGCCAGATGAAACCCGACACTCTGTACGACGCCCGCACAGGACCACATGCCTCGCCCTTGCATGCCGCGTCCACATCAGTCCAGCTCAACCGCCTTCCCGAACACTGCTCCAAGCGAAGGACGACTGCCGATGTGGACGGCCAAGACTCCTCGCTGAAGTGCGCCTGCAGCAACTCCGGGATCGTTATCACACTTTTGTCAATAATCCAAGGCAGCAGATAAATGCCACATTCCTGCGAAGGTCTGCCTGCGCTCTATTAAAAAAAAACAACATCGTGTTACGATCCCACGTCTATACAGTTAAAACCCGCAAACTCACC